ATTGGGGCCTATCAGAGACTATTCTTATTCTGTTGGTTTCTTGTTGCATAATGCTAAGACCTCACATTTCTTCTCTTTTTTCCTCTCTCATGAAAGTCTAGTTTAAAAGAAAAGGCCAGGCCAAATCAAAGATTTGGTAAAATGCAAACTACTTTACATTTGTAGACATACTGTCTTATCTAGTTGGCTCTGCAAAATTATACTTTTGCGATATAAACAGTAAGCTGCTCAGGGCAGAATTCCAGCAGCTTGTCTTTCCCAACCTTGCACGTAGCAGCCAGCAAGGCGGTTCATACACAGCGACTGACTCCCTTCTCTTGTTTAATTTCCTCAGACAAAACAAGACATTGTGGTGGTGCCTGCTGATTCGAAACGACACAACTTGTTTCTCTTGCCTCTTATAACCTCGTGAATCAGAGGCTGTTGGAGCCATAGGGTCTCTTAGAGTCATCTGGTCCATGCCTTGTTTACAGATGGGAAACTGAGGCCCAGACGAACTCATCCAAGGTCATTCATGTGTAACTGATAGAACTGAGTCTGCTTTGTTTAACCCAAAGGGTTTCCTTTACTTCTCCTTTCTCTGTCTTCCTCTGTAACAGTTATTCACATTCTAGGGAGAAAACATGATCCACTGAGCATGTGAGTTGTATGCCTGTTTTTGAAATAGCGCAAGATGAGCAGACAACATGATCACCAACCTGTATTGGGGTGGCCAGAAAGTTTGTTTGGTTTTAAGTAAAAATAAAAGACATTTTTCATTTTCACCAAGAACTTCACTGAACAATGTATTCACTAACAGAATGAAATTTCTGGCCAACCCAGTGTGATAAAGAGTGTTTGGGGAAGTTGGGGTCTCATTTAATGAGAGAATTCTAAGGCAGACAACATACTGAGACGCTATCAGGTTCTTTTCTTTGCTGCCAGGCTCTTCCAGGGCATCCCTTTGGCATCGTGGACCAGCCTGGTAAAATAGGATGAATGGGTCTTCACAGGACAGCGTCAGTAACAGCTCTGCTGCTGGTAGAGCTGGGCTCCTCTGGGCAAGGTGCTGACCCCTTCTGAGTCTCAGTTTCCTCGTTAAATAATATGGTAATTGGCACCCACTCCATACAATTACTATATTCCATATGGAAGTGAAATCATAAACTACAACGGAAATGAAGTGGATTAAGGAGGGAGATGGGGAGGGCGTGGTTCTAAAGTGCATCGTTGGCGTAAATAGATGACATTGTAAGTGACTGGAAAGCTTGTTAGTACTTCTGCCCAAAGGCACGCAACAGGGAGTACAAATGCCCTCTAACTGGTGACTTGTCACTCCAGCGAAAGGCATTGTTGAAGAATGTGTTTCCCATGTGAAGCTCTTTGAAGGCTTGGGTTGGAAAGGCAGATTCTCACGTGTAATTAGCAAAAGAGAGGCCAGAGAGGTGATTTGATAATCCCTTTCATGAGTGGTGGGGAACCACACCTGCTGCTTCTGAGGGAAGCAGAATTACCTTGAAGTTTGTGGAAGAAGTGGTGAATAACTGAATCGATTGGTGGGTTTTATAAAGGCCGCTCTTGTGCCTTGAGCACCTTCTTTGGGCCTCATCCAGTGCCTTGGAATGTGAAAGGCACAAAGTAATGTGTAACCAGGTCCCCATTCATGAAGGGTTTACCTTCTCATCGGTGGCAGCTCATAACACAGGATTATCTGTGATTTAAAGCCCAAACCGTGTTAAAGGAAAAATTGCGGGACATCGGAGAAAAAAAGAGATCCTTGCAGGGTGATAGGGAGTCAGTAATCGTTTGTCGAACTGCATCGTGAATGTGAGCTTTACAGTGTGAGGAAGAAACAGATAAGCTGTCGTTCCAGGCAGAGGTAAACCGTGAGCTGAGCACAGAATTTAGGGGAGGTTATGAGTCCTGACTGGAGCCGAGGGTGGAATTTGGCAGATGGTGGAGGCAAAGGTGGAGAATTAAGGCCAGGATAATTTCGGGAGCACTTTGATTGTCAGGCTCTGGAATCTAGGGTTTAAGGAAACATAATAGTCTGTGTGTGTGTGTGTGTGCGTGTGTGTGTGTGTGTGTGTGTTTACAGCAGTCCTTGGTAGGTGTTTGTAGCTTGGAGCTACAGTGCCAGGTGCTGCCTTTGAGCGTTCTGCTTACTTTCCTGGTGACTAAGGGCGAGGAAGAGGTGAAGCTCGGTGATTACACAACACACTGTGACACAGCAAGCTCTCTACTTCCTGATTCCATCTGCTGGCGGGGCCAGTGGGAGGAACCAGTTTGGGGGGAGGCAGTGAATGGGGGGCTCGAGGGATTCAGGGATGTGAGATCTACATTTTCTGTGGAGACCCAGCAGTATACCTAGTGGGCAAAACATTTGAATCAAGTAGCAGTTAGACGAAGGAAGTGAACCTCAGTGGATCAGTAGCTGTGGCCTCGTGGCCCACGAAGAAGTCTAGGAACCAGGAACTAACTCCTTCTGAATGCCTGATCTTACTCTGAATTCATATTATAGTCCACAGGCTCAGTAGTAAGCCAGTTCCAGTATCATCTGTCCAGACTTCTGTGCCAAGACTACAGAAGAACACATATTTGGGTGATTCTCTTCAAAAAGAGAGGCCACTTGAAGAACATGGGGCTAGAGGTCTGCTCCTTCTGTTCTGGGATAGATTGACTGTGATGAGCCTGCAGTCAGGCTGCTGATCTCGGCGCATCGCAGGCTCAGGAAAGAGCAGTAGAGGTACCATGATTGGGTTGGATACCTTTCTTCCCTTCTTAATGACCCTTGTGGCATCTGGCAGATGGTTTGATGGATTGAGTGACCAGCCTCATGTGCTCATAAGAGCCGCAGAGATGGGGAACGTCGTGGGTTCCTTGGATGGTCAGGTCAGTGGTTAGAACCGAATCTCTAAGGTGATTCTTTTTCCCTGAAAGGATGCAGCTCACTCATCATGAGAGAGGGCAAGAAATAAATCTACCTTAAAAAAAAAAAAAAAAGCTTCATCGAAGTCTAATTTATATACCATAAAATCCACCCACTGTAAGCATATAGTTCATTGATTTTTAGTAAATGTGCAGTGTTATATGACCATCACTACAATCCAATCCAGTTTTAGGGTGTTTCCATCTCTCTGTAAAGCTTCCTGGTGCCTGTTGTGCTCTGTCGCTATTCCCACCCCCAACCCACGAAACAGTCAGCTGCCCTGTGTCGCTGATAGACTTGCCTCTTCTGGACGTTACAAGGAAATGGAAGCCTAACGTATGTGTTGTGCACGGGACTTTCATTTCGCATAATGTCTTTGAAGCATCCGTGTTGTAGCATGTGTTCGTATTTCATTCCTTTTTATTGCTGACTGATATTCCATTGTGTGGACACACCACATTTTACTTCTCCACTCATTCTTCAGTGGATGAATTGTTTCCAGTTTTCAGCTGTTGTGAATGATGCTGCTATATTGGTTTCTTGTGGCTGTCCTAGCAAATTACCACAAACTTGGTTGTTTAAACAAGAGGATTTTATTCTCTCGTAGCTCTGAAGGCCAGAGGTCTAAAATCAAGGTGTTGACCGGCTGTGCTCCTTCTAGAGGCTCTAGGGGAGATTCCGTCCTTTGTCTTTTCTAGCTTCTAGTGGTTGTGCCAGTCCTTGACTTGAGGTCATGTTACTTCCACCTCTGCCTCCGTCCTCATGTTGCCTTCTCTTCTGTGAGACTCTCAAAACTCCCTCTGTCTCTCTGTCATCTGGATACGTGTGATTGTGTTTGGACCACACCCTGAATTTCCAGATTAACCTCCTCTCCATATCCTTAACTAACTCACACTTTTTGCCACCTGAGGAAACATTCACAGATGCCGAAATCGGATGTGGATATCTTTTGGGGGCTATTATTCTGCCTACCACAACAGCTATGGATATGCACATGAAGTTTCTGTGTCAGCACGTTTCCATTTCTCTTTGTAGATAACTGGGCGCGGAATTGCGGGGCTGCGCGTACATTTATGTTTAACTTTTTAAGAAACCACCAAACCGTTTTCCGAAGACGTTGTGTCATTTTATGTTCCTACTAGCGATGCATGAGGGTTCCAGTTTCTCCACATTCCTGCCAAGTCTGCCTTTTAAAAATTAATAGCAAAAAAAAAAAAAAATTAATAGCCATTCTGGTGGGTGAGAAGTTGTATCTCGTTGCAGTTTTAATTTGCATTTCCCTGATGACTAATGGTTGTTTGACGTCTTTTCTGGTGCTTATTAGTCATCATATATGATTCTTGGTAAAATGTCTCTTCAGAGCTCTTACCTATCTTAAAATGGGATTGCCTTCTTCTTTTGGAGTTACAAGAGTTAGTCTACTGTTTTGTATGATTGTGGTCCAGTCATTGCCAGTCCTAAGGACTGTGGTGATGGAGGTCACCTTGGGGGAACCCCATTTCCCCAGGGTACCTAGAGCTGGGGCGAGGCAGCCACCCAGTGTTAGTCTATTACTGGGGGGGTAGGTGGGGCTCACACGTGGTCCGTTGGGGGCCTGTTACTGTGTCTGGGAAGCCGGGAGACGGCTCGCCCTATGCCCTAGAGATCATAAGCTCGGTGGTGTTGTAGGCTGATAACTCTTATCACCATTTTAATTAAGGAGTTGTTTCTGTAATAATATATTTACTATATCTCTTCCCGTACTAAACTATTAAAAATCCCTGGTACAGGAACCACATCTGTGTGTTTCAACACTCTATCTCCAGTCTCTAGCACAGTATGTGGTACGTAGTAGGCAACCAACCAATATTTGTTGGATGGAAGTATGACTGTAACATACCAGTAATGGGAGTCCAGGAGGATGCCCTCTGCTTTTCAGTGGGGGATTCACCTGAAATGATTAAAGAGAGGATTATTTGTTAGAGGAGTGGTTCACTAACCACCGAATGTGCTCTTTGGTGACTCGTATTATTATTTTTTTTAATGTGTTTGGTGACTTGTATTTTAACTGCCACTGATGCCATCATGTTCCTCTTTTATTTCTCCTTTCCAGCAATCTATAACTACAATGCCTCTCAAGATGTGGAGCTGTCCTTGCAGGTTGGAGACACGGTTCACATCCTGGAGATGTATGAGGGTAAGTCTGGATGGCCTTCTGCCAGACATGGAGCAAGGCCCAAACAGTAGAAGTTACTTATTCATAAGGCACTTAGAGCAAATATCAATGTGCTTTACATCTGAAGTGATGCTAGTAAAAATCCAGGAAGTGCTTAGGGTATACAGTTTTGGACTGTGGGTGTTTTCAAAACAGGCAGCTGAGTGCATGAGCGCAGACATGCCCAGAGGCCAGCATCAAAATATGTGACTCTGGGGAATTCCCTGGTGCTCCAGTGGTTAAGACTCTGCGCTTCCACTGCAGGGGGCATGGGTTCGATCCCTGGTTGGGGAAATAAGATCCTGCATGCTGCGCTGTGTAGCTAAAACAACCAAAACCAAAACCTGTGACTCTGCATTTTGTGAGGTTTCAGTGCTGTTATACGTATGCCATCCTATTTAATTCTTATGGCAATCCTCTAAGGGTGGCAGGGCAAGGGTTTTTTTCTAATTAAGAAAAAATATGTATTACTGACTTTCAAAAATATAGAACTCTTAAAAATTACACAAGTTAACCCATGCTCACTTTTTTGTTTTTGTTTTTGTTTGCGGTACGCGGGCCTCTCACTGTTGTGGCCTCTCCCGTTGCGGAGCACAGGCTCCGGACGCGCAGGCTCAGCGGCCATGGCTCACGGGCCCAGCCGCTCTGCGGCATGTGGGATCTTCCCGGACCGGGGCACGAACCCGTGTCCCCTGCATTGGCAGGCGGACTTTCAACCACTGCGCCACCGGGGAAGCCCCATGCTCACTTTCTTAACGTAGTTGAGAAAACTACTGTTCAGAGTAAATAAGGTGCCTCACGTCATACAACTAGTGACAGAGCCGCATGAGATGAAGCACTGCTGATTTCTAGCGGCTTCTCATGAAGCAAGACCTTAATACATGAAAGATGCTATCTATTCATAAGTACTGAAAATAAATAGGAAAAGCATATAATTCAACTTACAGTCTAAAAGGCAAAAACATTTATTTCTTTGTAAAATTCTCTCAGATAAAATAATTAAATAAACCGATAAAAATTCAGAAAAAAATGTGACTGGATGCAGAAGGGCCTGACGCAGCCCTGGCTCCGGAGGAGACATGCGCGCCTCTGGTCTGGCGGGAGCTCGAAGGAAGCCCAGCTGCTGAAGTGGCTCTTTCTTCTCAGCACTAAATGTTCCCAGACTCGGGAAGAAATGAGGGAGAGACTTACTGGTGTTGCTGAGATTCCTTCAGAGAATTAGGTCCGGACGACTCTAGGTCTGGAAAGCCTACGAGTATATTTCCTGCAACTAGGTCGGGCTGGGGAGGGGGTCCCAGTTAACCTGTAAGTGGGTTGTTGGGCAGTTGCCCAGGGCTCCCGGGTCATCTGAAGAGCACAGGTCATGTCTGCACCCCCACCCCCCAGGCTTCTCGCTCCAACTCAAGCTCTCTAAATCCTAACGGGACTCATCCACGTATCCACATTTCTAATCCAAATGCCCAGAGCACAACAAACATGTCTCTAGGCCCCTAACATTGAGGATAAAAGCAAAGAACATTGAGGGTCCGTTGATTCTCTCTGAAGATTGGGGCAGGCATGAGGTGGGAAGCTAGGCAGATTTTTCTCATAGGGTAAGGCTTGTTAGGACAAGAACCCTGGATTTGCAGGGTCTGGGCCCCCCCCCCCATGTAAATGGTTCTGATGATGGCATGGCAAGGGTGGTCGTCTGGAATCTAGTGCGGCTTCCAAGGGCAAGGCAGACAGACACAGGATGGGGAAGAGGAGATGGGAGGTCCGAAGGAAAGGAAGTAGGGCTCGGCCATAGGAAAGCTAAGCCGTCTGCCGCATTGCACAGAAGACTCTGTTTTTACTCTTCCTCCTTTAGTTTTAGGCAGAGGGCTGGTGGTTTGCATTATCCTTCTCCCCTTCACACACTTCAGAGTGTCTTCGTGCAGCTTCCAGGGGCAGGGGAAGGGAGGGAGCGCTGTTTGGACGCTTCCCACTCTATTCTTTCTCTTATATTTTTTTTAAAAAAAAAATTTATTTATTTATTTTTGGCTGCGTTGGGTCTTCGTTGCTGTGTGCGGGCTTTCTCTAGTTGTGGCAAGTGGTGGCTACTCTTCGTTGTGGTGCGCAGGCTTCTCATTGCGGTGGCTTCTCTTGTTGTGGAGCACAGGCTCTAGGTGTGTGGGCTTCAGTAGTTGTGGCTCACGGGCTCAGTAGTTGTGGCTCGCGGGCTCAGTAGTTGTGGCTCGTGGGCTCTAGAGCGCAGGCTCAGTAGTTGTGGCGCACGGGCTTAGTTGCTCCGTGGCATGTGGGATCTTCCCGGACCGGGGCACAAACCCGTGTCTCCTGCATCGGCAGGCGGACTCTCAACCACTGCGCCACCAGGGAAGCCCGATGATACCTTTTAAATACATTTTCAAAGTTTTTTTTCATTTTTATGTGACCCCAGTGTTTCTTGAAATAGTTGATTGAAACACTTTGTCCTCAAATGATTCATATTAATGGTAATTTTAAGTGTGCGTATTATTTTTACCTTACTGAGCAATCTCCCAGTCGACCAATGAGCATTCCTAAAAGTAGCACTCCTATGGACCAAGCTAACGTGGTCACCAAGCTTGGTTGAATATAAATGTAAACACACAAACACGTCTGTTTCAAATACCTTCCGGAGCTTGAGTCCAAAAGCCACGGTGCACCTAATATATTACAACTTACACAGCGGTACACTTGCCAGAAGTGCTGGCCCAGTTCATACAAAACACTGTTACTTGATCACTGCTGCATCTAGACTATGATGATCCAGGTGCTGTAGGTCCTGACAGCAAGAAGCCAAATTTCTTGTTAATTGTTACCATAAAATGCTTGGGGGCCAGCCATAGAATTCTTTCAAAGAAGGACGTCAGGGACTTCCCCGGTGGTCCAGTGGTTAGGATTCCGTGCTTCCAAGGCAGGGGTCACGGGTTTGATCCCAGGTCAGGAACTAAGATCCCACACGCTGCAAGGCGTGGCTGAAAGTAAATAAATGAATGAATGAACGAATAAGTGAGTAATAAAATTTAAAAAAGGATGTCAGCGCCCATTCCGTAAAAGTGGACATGTGTCAGGGTGTGAATGGGGAGATTTAGAGTATGAGCTTATTCACTTCATTAACTGCCAAGTGGCAGGTCAGCTTTACAGAGATGATTATACTGGCTTAAGGTTTAAACTAGTGTTTATCTTATGAATTAATTTTTTTAATGGTGCGTGCATTGCCAGACGCAGTGATAGGTACTTCTATCTGCTAAGTACTTTGAGTTCGTGGCTGGGTTCTCAAGTTTCTTGATTATTCAAGGCAGTTCAGGACGCAGTGAGGGCAGGAGGGCTTTGCAGACATTAAACATGATGGAAATGCTGAGTAATAACTTGCGTTCAAGCCCTCCTCCCCCATCTCCTCTTTCCTTTAGAAAAATAAACAAAGTGGAAACACCCACAGTACTGCCAGATGGAATTGAAGGGTGGTGCTGGCACCATTTCATGGCCCTGGCCTGCGATGCGGGGGTTGTGTCTTTCAGCTTCCTGTCAGTGCTGACTCCAGGGGTCCCACCCCGCCAGACACCCTGCCTTTGAGATATTTGCGTACCAGACCTGGGTGGGCTCTTCTGGTGTGGACATGAGTTCACCTTTCTGGAACCCGGACTTGAAAAATTCTTTTCTGCCCACAACAGAATACCACTTAGGACTCTCCTTTTGCTGTTTTCCGCCCTGTGGTTGAATGAATGATTCCAAAAGTGGTAGCTTCTTGAAGGCCTGCCCCTCCTTCATCGGCAGGGCCTGTGCCTAGCATGGCTCCCAGTATACAGTAGGTGCTCAGCAAGCCTGTTGTATGAGTGAAGATAAATGGGAGACCAGGGCAAGACTGTGGGAGCAAAAGCAAGGTAGTGTGGAGAGTAAGGGGGATGGGGCCACCTCCACAGAACTCCCGATAGTACAGGGCAGGGCTGCTTTTCTCCTTCTATGAGATGCCGGCATTGCCCTGCCCTGTGCAGACCACACAATGGACTTGGTTACCACGTGAGCTGCTTTTTCCAATAACAGCTTTGAGATAGATCTCAAATACCATCCAGTTGACCCATTTAAAGTATACAATTCAATAATTATTTACAAAGTACTCTGTTCACAAAGTAGGGCAACCATATCACTATCTACTTTCAGAACATTTTCATTATCCCCAAAAGAAATCCTCTACCCGTAAGTGGTTTTTACCCCCCAGCTCCAGGCAGCCACCAACCTAATTTCTGTCTCTGTAGGTCTGCCTATTCTAGACATTTCACATAAGTGGAATCATGTAATGTGTGGTCCTTTGTGACTGTCTTCTTCTACTTAAAATGATCTTTTGGGGGCTCATCCATGTTGTAGCATGTGTCAGTACCTCATATCTTTCTATTGCTAAAAAATATTCATTGTAGGCATAGTTCACATTGTATTCATCTCTTCATCAGTTGATGGACATTTGTATTGTTTACAATTTTTAGTTATTATGAATAATGCTGCTGCCATGAACGACAAGTTTTTGTGTGGATATATGTTTTCATTTCTCTTGGGTGTATCCTTAGGAGTGGAATTGCTGGATCATATAGTAACTCTGTGTTTAACCTTTTGGGGAAATGCCAGACTGATTGCTTGAGATTTGGCTCCAAAACAGGAGACCACAGTCCACATGAGAGAGTAATCGTTCCTCATCCCTTATCACCGTTCCTCTCTGTAACCTTGCTCCTGAACGTCATTCGTTACTAAAAATAAGGGAAGGAAGTAGAATTGACTGACAAGCTGTATATTGCTCCTTTTTAATAGACCACCAATAATTGTTTGCCTTCAGAAACTTTTTTCAGGGAACAGAAATCCTCAAGGAGTAAAACAAGTGTCCTTGCCTTTCTTCCGCTTTGGCACCGGCCTGCCTGTAGTCACTGCCGTGTCTTTGCTTCTTTAACCAGAAAAGAGTTGGCAGTGAGACAGCTGTTCTCCATCTGAGTGTTCTT